CCCCCCCCCCCCCCCCCCACCCCGCACTCGAAAAATAATGGATTGGAATGGAAACCTGTTGCACGCCTTCCCCAGACCCCCTGACGCTTTGCTCTCCCGCCAAAATCGATCGATCCCACCGGTGCCCTAACATAAATGTACCCTAAACCCTAAACCCTGACCTAACATAAATATCGCCAGAAATGTTGGGTTCGAGACTCTTTGATGTATTTCATCGAGAAACCAGGGGTTCTAAACCCCAACAAAGGCTTGGGAGAGTGCATAGGCCCGTAAAAAAAGCACAAACTACAGAGATCGCCGCCAACTAATCATTCGGGCCCCTTGGAACTTCCTAAACCCCTAAGNNTAAACCCTTAAACCCCAAACCCCCACTGTCTTATAAAGGAGGAAACGCGCTAACCGGCGTCCGATCTTGCAAGCGCGCCCTGACACCCCGATCCCTAATCTGGGTTCTTGTTAATGAATGGGTTTAGGGTTTAGGGTTATTGAACTTAAGTCACCATACTGGGGATCCATAGTAAATACTTAATGTGGTTTGTTTATTATGTTAACTTAAACTACATCCCTTAGGAACCCAGTAATTCCTTTATTGCGTTAACTGGAATTATTTCTGCTAAATGTAGGAACTCAGTAATTTCTTAACCCCTACACAGACCTTAAACCCCAACACTAAGCCTTATATGGGTAACTGTCAAAAATCATGGTCCTTCTGGGGAGCCCCAAAAGGGACCCTAGTTTTGACAACCACCCAAATAATACAGGGGCCTAAATAATTACAAATGCTATTTTGGGGGTTCCTTATGGTAATTATAGTTTAATGGACCCCAAAACCCCATCCCAATCATTAAGGCCCCTACATTAAACCCGTACAGCCCTAAACCCTAAACCCTAAATTCCATGAACCCTCCACCCCTGAAGCCCTAAAGCCTTACTGTCTCTGTGCCTAGGCGATCAAAGGACCGCTTGAGCCTTCGGCAATGTGCTCGGCGCCGCGGCTGATTTGCTTCAGAGTTGAATACCCTAGGACTCCAAGTCTACAAATAGCACTTACCTTGAGGCCCAAAGTCTATAAATGGTACCTACTTTCGGCTATTGGGAGTCTTAGGGATACAGTTCGGGGTGCTAGGGTGTAGGTTCAGGGCTAATGGCGGTAAGGTTTAGGGCTTAGGGTTTAGTGTTTAGGGCTAATGGTGGTATGGTTTAGGATATAGGGTGTTAGGGCTGTTAGTGTTTAAAGCCAGGCTCAGGGGTTTAAGTTTGCATGGTTTGGAAATCAGAGTGTCAGACACCGGAGAACCCTTGCATAGATCCTTCAAGAGTGTTCCTGGGCAAACGTCGGGAAGCTTCCACTGTATTTTGACGTTTTCCACGTTTCTCAATATGAGTGCATGTTGGGATTCGGGGGTAGTCTGACAGGAATGGGGGGGAATGAGCTATTGGGACTACTATAGGGGGCCTTGATTGACTATCATAGGGATCCATTCCGCCCTTCCCTACTAAGAACCAGGGAGTAGTTGTTGCTGTCTGTGGTGGCACGTGTCGTTGCCTAAACCCTAAACCCTAAACCCAAACCCTAAACCCTAAACCCTAAACCCTAAACCCTAAACCCTAAACCCCAAACCCAAAGAGGCCGTGACGGCATGCAGAAGCTTCCGTAGCTCCAGTGGCTCCGGAACCCAAACCCCGCGCAGCACGATGCTGAGAATAATAAAGGGGCCTAACCCAAAGGGTCCCATGTACTGTTATGGGGGATACTTCCCTAAATCATAATAAGAACTCCTAATATAGGAACCCTACATTCTACTATATAGGTACATAGGACCCTTTGGGTAAATAATTCCTTACATAATCTGGGGTTCCTGATTATAAGTATAGTATACTGGGCCCCAAAACCCTATTCTGATTATTAAGGCCCCTATATTACACCTAACACAGCATCCTTCCCCCGTAAGCCCTAAACCCTAAAACCCCCAGGGTGCAAGACAAATTCTAAGTGAATCCTCGCAGGGTGCTGACGAAGATCCGTGAGAAGGAGCCGATGCTGCCTGGATCTCACCCTGACGGCTCCGAACCACACACCATAAAAGTAAGATTTTATGGTACTACAGGGGCCTCAATTATTACCTATACTATTTCGGGGGTTCCTTAATAAACTTCTATGCCCCAAAACCCTATTCTAATTGTTAAGGCCCCTACTGTTTGGTTTAGGGTTTGAGACTGAGTCTTCGCCTTTGCTGGCCAAGCTTCAAGAGCACTTCCGTCTGAAGCAGGCCGCGAGCAAGTAGTGAAGGTTAGAAGTATGGGCCCCTAATATGGACTCTTAGGCCTTTCTAGGGACCCTTAAGGGTACATGTAGGGTATAGAGTAGGTATATAAGGATCCAACCTTAAGGGCCCATACTACGGGCCCATGGCTTCAACCTTAGAAAGTAGTGATTGCCCATCTCTGGGGACTTGTTCAGATCACAGCAAGGTAACCCTGACAGGAGCGAAAGTTAGGATGGATGGTATCAGGGTCCTGGACCCTTAAGAACCCCCCTTTTTAGGGTTCCTTGTTATGATTTCCTTACAGAAGTCCTTAAAAAGGTAGGTTTTGGGGGGTCTAGGTGTAGCTTGCTAAACCTCATCACAACAACCCTATCACCAACCTAGGCCTTATCTATTGAAGCTTTAGACCAGAACGGAGCCTGATACTATGAGCCTGAAGGGGTAGGATCCGGATCATACGAACCCCAGACCTAAATTCCAACCTAAACCCTAAACCCTAGACCCTAAACCCTAAACCCTAAACCCTAGCAGGAGTGCGAGCGGGTGGCCGCCATATTTCAGGCGAGCGACGTGCACAGCACGAACGGCCTGAGCATTCAGGCGCGGGGCTTTGCAGGGATTAGGGTTCCTTTAAGGGCTCCTTTAAGGGCTCCTGTAAGGGATCTATGAGGGTTCCTTTCAGGGCTCCTTCCAGGGATCTATAAGGGTTCCTTGAAGGACCCCCTTTCAGGGATCTATAAGGTTCTTTTCAAGTAAATCCAAGAAGTTGGAAACCGGATTAAGGACAATAAGTGCTGGGATTCCCTATACATTCGTCTTAAGGAATGAGGCTATGAGGCTATTGCGTTTCCAACTTTGTGACTTCATCTCTAAACCCCCCCATCCCAAAAGCTACGCACCAACTTGCAAGCCCAAATCTCTATATCCTAAGCCCTACATTGCAAAACCCTAAGCCCTAAATTCTGAAACCTGAACCCCAAACCCTGAACCCTAAACCCTGAACCCTAAACCCTAAACCCTAAGCCCCAAACTCTGAAACCTGAATCCCGAACCCTGAACGCTGAATCCTAGACAAACCCTAAATCCCAAATCCTGCACCCCCTAGACCCTCAACTGTAACAGACCCCCAAAACTCCGAACACCTGCAATCTCAGCCTCGACGGCCGATGAGTCAGAAGATCCGGCATCCTGCCAGAGGATGACCTCAGGAGGAGGGCTTCAGGGTTCAGGGCTTCGGGTTTAGGGTTTAGGGGTTGTGGGTTTATAAGGGCTTAGGGTTTAGGATTCAGGGTTTAGGGGTTGTGGGTTTATAAGGGCTTAGGGTGCAGGGTTCAGGGTTTAGGGGTTGTGGGTTAGGGTTTTGGTTAGTTTTTTCTGGTTTGGGAAGCCGGAGGCTTAGACGTTAAAGATCTGGGCCGCTACGAAGCCTGTGGCTTTTTGGAGGGCTTTTGCAGCGTTCTGTTTGCCTGGGAGGTACTGCTTGTTCCGCTGGTGATCTTTCGGACGCCCCTGTGAACTGCTGTGTTCCGGCTACCATTCAAAGCTTTGTCACCGTAAGGCCGCCACCTGCAAACTGTGCTAAACCCCAACGGCAGCAAATGGAACCCTTTATAGAACCCTAAACCCTAAACCCTAAGCGCCAAACCCCTAAACCCCTAAACCCCTAGTCCCTAAACCCTAAGCCCTAAAACCCGAGAACCAAGTACGCGGCTTCCCCCCGGACGAACCAGCCTGCTGGCAAGCGGTGCTCGCTGAAGAGGTGTACACTTCGAGGCCGTGAGGGGTTCTGTAATGAGGGGTTCTGTAATCTAGGGGCCTTATGAATTAGAATAGGGTTTTGGGGCGCATATGGGATAAATATAATAAGGGAACCCACAGGTTTAGGGCTTTTAGGGTTCATGGGTTTTAGGGCTTAGGGCTTAGGGTCGAGGGTATGCAAGCTTGGTTTCAGTTACCACACAACGGAGAGGTAGAGGAGCCTGCAAGAGAGCGAGAGAGCCGCATCCATGTCTATACTATGGATTTCTATAGTGTTGTAAGGCTGCTTTCAAATTTGGCAAGTATGACTACCCCGAAAACCTTCTGAGAGGCCTACGCCTGTTCAAAAGCCCGAACCCGAACACAGACGCCTGCGTGGAAGTCCCCCTCAAGACCCTCTAAGCGATAATCACCTAAACCCTAAACCCTAAACCCTAAATCCTAAACCCTAAACCCCAAAAACCAAATCATAAGTTGTAAGGAGAAGAGCCTTGGGGTTTGGGGGGTCTTCTTACTTACATCAACCCGCCCCAGACACTGCAGAACCCTTCGACTCAGCAATATGGGTAGTTCTCTAGATGAGGGTCGCTTTTTAGGTCCCCGATATAGTACGGCACCCGAATAATTTAAATTGAATTGAAAAAAATCCTTAAGCCCTCTCCTCAACCCTAAGTTTCTGATCCCTAGCAGCTAACAATCCTACTCCCTAAAAGATCTAAAAGTCTATTCCACCAATACCCCCCCCCATCCATAAAAAAACACCGACACACCCTAAACCCTAAACCGGAAATGCTAAACCCAAAGGCCTCAAAGCCCTAAACCCGAAATCCGTAAGCCCTAAACCCTAAACCGGACATGCTAAACCCAAAGGCCTCCAAGCCCTAAGCCCGAAATCCGTAACCCCAAAGCATGCCGGCAGCACGACATGCTTGGAAGCTCTGGGATGCGACAGCCTCGCCATGCCGAGTGGAAACTTTGGGCTTTAGGGTTTAGGGTTTTCTAGGGTTTAGGGTTTAGGGTTTAGGTTTAGGTAAATCCTAGACTTAAACCCTAAATCCCAAACTTAAACCCTAAATCCTAAAGTTAAATCCTAAACCCTAAACTTAACCCTAAACCCTTCGAAGAGATTCAGGATTCAGGACTAGCAAACTGTTGGTAAGTCACCAGGTAACCCAACGAAGCAACTGCAGAACGTAGGTATGTCCGGTCTATCAGGTTTCGAGGGCTGTACAGGTTTCGAAGGGTTTGTCCCAGCATCTTTAACCTGTAGTGCCCTCACAACCCATGGACTTAAACTCCCAAATCTCTGGCCTTGAAACCGTCAAAGCCCATGACCCTGAGCCCTACAAACCCTAAACCCAAACCATTTTTTGACCCTGGAAACCTTACCCCAAGATTCAGGTTTTATTCATTCAGCCAGCTCCAAGGGTGGAGGATAAAAGCTCTATGGCTGAGTGTCTAGAGTGGGTTCTTGGGGTCCTCCGACGAAGGCTCGGTTTGATCTTCACCGTGCAGCTCATGATTATTTCCCACGGTTTAGGGTTTAGGGTTTAGGGTTCCTTAGTATGAGTCCCTGTTTGTAAGTCCTTAAAAAGCAGTCTATTTTGGGGTTGAGGTAGGGTTTAGGGCTTGAGGTTGAGGCTTGCGTGAAAGCCACGAAGCCACAATTGAGACTCAAGGGACCCGATAACAAGCCCTCAGCGGACAAGCAAATGAAACCCACGGGCTTGAACTCGAACTGGCCGCAAAGACCCGACACCGGAAACCCTAAGCCCTAAATCCTAAACCCTAGGCCCTAAACCCTTTAAGCCTAACTCTCCTTTGGAACCGCTAAGACTCTGAAAGCAAGACCCCGATGAATCTTGCAAGATCCTTGCAACTCATTCGTGGCTCAAGGCTTCGGGCTTGGCCATTTCCTGTCCCTAAGGGTCCAAGTACCCAAATAGTAGGGTTTCAAGGTCCAAAAACCACGCACAGGATGGATTTTGGAACCTAAGACCTTACTAATTTGGGTACTCGGACCCTCTGGGTGTTAATGCTGTGACGCAAACCATCCTATGCACAAGAAAACCCTCCTCATTGGCCCTACTCCGGGTAGACTTAGCTCAGTCGGGCCTTCTGCCTCTTGCCCTTGGCATCGCGCCAGCCATCTTCATTCAGGGCGATGGGCAGCTGTCTGAGCCTCTTTGGCCGTGAGAGTTAGGGTGTACCTGGGCTCTGAAGAACATTTTTTAAGCACTTACATGACCAAAAAACAAACCCTAAACATATTTGGGGGATAGAGGTAAGGTTTGGAAACTGTGAGATATGAGCGTCATGCTTTAGGTTTACGAGAACTACACGTAGCTGTTAAGTTGCATATCAGCCATAATGCACCTGCCCAAACCTTCGAGCAGGCTGCGTAACGTGGATATGGAGCTTACTTAAGGGATTACAGTACAACATTCTGCTTCCAAAGCCCGCACACCCCCACCTAGGCTCCCCGGCAAGGCCACAGAAGTTGCCAAGGCTTGATACCCGAGGTCCTGAGGAAGCGGGTTCTGGCCAGTTCGACACAGAAGTTCTATGAAGGAACCCTCGAGAACGTTTTTTCATACTACTGTTGATGATAGAAATCCCGCATTACCTCAAGGATCCTAAACCATGGGAATCATGGTATGTTCCTGATTCTGGGTATTAAGGATCCTAAACCATGGGAATCATGGTATATTCCTTATTATGGGCAATGCAGGATTTATATCATCAGCCGTAGTTAGTCGTGCCCCTACATTCTCCGGCTTCATGGCTCGGAAGCCAAGCAGTACTTGGCCGACTTCTTCTGAACCCCTCCAAAAAGTTTAAACTTTTAGTCTCCTTACTATATTTCATACAGAAACCGCTTTTGGGGTATAGTTTACTATAATTATAACAAGAAGCCTACCCCCCAAAAAAAACACGACAAAAAGTATAGGTAAGGCCCCTGTAGTAACCCCAGAAAATCAGGCTTGCAGATCACCCTACGCCCTAAACAGGTAAATTGGGTTGCGCCGGGGGGCTCGGGACCAAATTATCCAACACGATTCCGAGTGCCCGTACCGCACATTCCCCAAATAACCATGGGTAGCGATGAGTGCGGTTCTGCTTGGCCTAAAAGTGAATTCCTCCATGCATCACAAGTGCTGCTGCCCGGACCCCTACCTATCTCCCAAGACCTCGTAACTCTGAAACCCAAATCCTAAGCCCTGCGGCTGATGATAGAAATTCTGCATTACCCATAAAAATAAATAATGAAGAACCATAATTTCCAAGTTCAGGGTCATTACCCATAATTAGGGATAGACCATAATTCCCATAGTTAAGGGTCCTTAAGGTAATGCAGGATTTCTATCATCAACCTTAGTAGAAGCCCTGAACCCTAAACCCTAAATCCTAAGCCCGAAATCCAAATCCTAAGCCCTACCTTAAGAACCCCAAAACCCACTTTTTTGTAGGTTCTTATTATAAACCCTAATATGGGAATTGTAGGGACCCTACAAAAAAGTAGGTTTTGGGTTCTGAAGGTAGTAAGCAACTGTCAGTGTTGCTTCCGGAGCTCCTCGAGGCGCGACATGAGAATCTCGCACCAACCTGGCTGCAAGACCAAACATCCCTAGGGTTTAGGGTTTAGGGTTTAGGGTTTAGGGCTTAGGGTTTAGGGCTTAGGGTTTAGGGTTTAGTTGTTGTTTTTCTGTTGTTGCCCCTCTTTTGCGTCGTTTAGGGTTTAGGGCCTTTAGGGTTTACTTGCAGGGTCGGGGGACTTAGTAAGTTGGTAGCAAGTAGACTTTTAAGTACTTTAAAAAAGGATCCTAATTGGGGTAATGATACTTATAAGTCTGTAAAAAATACTTACTAAGTCCCCCGACCCTCCAATTAGGGTTTAGGGTTTAGGGTTTAGGCCCCCAAACCTGACTTGTACTCCGGAAGTTGTAAAATTGGCGGACTGAGTGGCCCTAAACCCAATAGCCAAAGGAGGCTATGCACTCCTGTCATGAAGCATGCCCAACGTCGTAGAAAGCACAAAGAGCCTTTCACAACTACGTTTAAGCCAGGTGCAAAACCCGTTGCTAAGGTCCCTCGCTATTCCACTTAGGAGTTAAGCAAGATGCCAAGTATTATTAGGAGACCCCATCAAAGAAACGTCAACCCAAAAGAGGGAAGTGCAAAACACGTCCCAAAAAATCCACTCAACCCCGAAACCCTGAAACCCTAAACCCTACACGCGACACCCCATCAACCAAAGCAGCACACCTGCAACCCGGCCCCCAATGGCTCAACAGGCTCAACACCCAATGTGGGGGCATCCATAAATTAAGTGTTTTGAAGGGGGGGGTCAGTACATGAAGGTTATAGAGGCACATAACAAGCACGCGTCTACATATGTATTATGAATCCAGTGAACCCTGAAGCCCTGAACCCTGAAACCCTAAATCCTGAAACCCTCAAACCCTAAATCCTTGAGCCCTTACCCCTCAAACCCGAAAGCCCCAACACGTAGTTCCGGCCGAAGAAGTGCCAAACCTCTTCAAGCGCAAGCCTGAAACTTCTTCGGGTTTGGGCGCCCATGGCAGTTTTATGGGGTTTATTGTTCAGGGGTAAGGGTTTAGGGTTTAGGGGTATACCTGCAGCCCATGAAGTATGAAAGGAAGGCTTCGGACTTTTTGCAAGACACGGAAGCAAACTGAACTTCACAAGCTTTTGGGCGACCTAGACCCTAAACCCTAAACCCTAAACCCCTAAAGCCCTAAAATCTATAATTAAAACAGCAGTCATCGAAAAGTCGTTAGAACCGTCTTGACTAAGGGACCCCATTATAGACAGTGGCATCTTGTATAAAAGAACCCGATTAAACAAACAAAAAATATTTTACTTCGAACATCCCCACCCTCACGGTAGTCTGTGGGGTTTGGCACTCCAGGGAGTCTCACGGGAGTCTAGTCTGTGGGGTTGGGCACTCCAAGGAGTCTCACGCTAGTCTGTGGGGTTGGGCACTCCAGGAGGTAGTCTCAGAGGGCGAGGAGTAATAGCTGACTTTAAAATCTAACAACCCCACACCAAGGGTAGGGCACAAAAACAAAAACACCCCCAGATTTAAGAATTCCATCGTTTCAAGGAGCAGTGGGCTCATGATGGTGTGTCAGCATAAACATCCCCGTGAGCGACGAACCTGGAAGATAAACGGAAAACCTCAATATGCTCCTTCATGGAATTTAGGGGAGTAACATAGGGGCCTAAATAATTACCTATACTATTTTGGGGGTTCCTGATTAAATTTATAATATACCCCTTGGGGGTTCCTGATTAAATTTATAATATACCCCCAAACCCGATTCTAATTATTATGGCCTCTATAGTAGAGGCTATGCATGCTTGAAGGTCAGCAAGCACTTGACCCCAGATTTCTCAAGATCCACATGCCGGGGCGACGCGTCTGGCCACGAGACGCAGAAGTGAAGGTGGGTGACGGTGCCTTATTTGAAGGAAACTACAGGTGGGGAGTTTAGGGTATGTAGGGCTTCTATAAGGCTTCCATAAGGTATAATTATAGACCTTCTACAAGGCTCCTATAACGGTACCTACCCACCTGAAAATGTCCTAGACTTATACCCTGAACACTGAAAAAACAGAATCTAAACCCCTAAGCCCCCTGAACTCTAAACCGAGACCTGCACCCTAAACCCTAAACCTAAACCCTAAACCCTAAACCCTAAACCCTCAACCCTAGACTCTAAACCTTGAACCCTAAATCCCAAACCCTAAACTCGGCAGCCTGAAATCTTGACTAGGCTACCAGGATTTGCGGGGCCTCCTTCGATCTTCCCGGCTCACGGGTGCATGCCGCAAGAAGCCGAAGGAGGCTGTTTCTTTTTGTCTAGGGTTGGGTTTAGGGTTTAGGGTTTAGGGTTTAGGGCTTCTGTGCCAAGAGATCCACCAAATTGCCAAACCAATCTCTGCATCTACAAACCATGCATAAACCTGTTACAAAGCAGCAACTACATCGCGGGGAAGAACACGAAGACCCAAGATCCCGGACCCTGATAGATCATACAGAAGCTAGAAAAGAAAGGTATAGGCTCGGGTGGCTAGAACCTGTCGGTGTGGGTGTGGGATTTAGAGGGAAACCCCGATCCCGCCAGGAGGTACTCGATAAGGAGGAAGCCCTAAACCCTAAACCCTATACCCCTAAACGCCAAACCCTTTACCCCTAAACCCTACACCCCTAAACCCTAAACCCTATACCCCTAAACCCTATACCCCTAAACCCTAAACCCTATACCCCTAAACCCTAAACCAACCTCACTTCCTCGAGCAGCCGGCTCTTGCTCTGTCTGCGCACCGTCGGCGTGCGTGGATCCGATCTGTGCCTGCTGCGTGCCATAATAATGTAGGGGCCTTAATAACTAGAATAAAGTTTTGGCGTATATTATACCGTAATTATAATAAGGAACCCCTGAAATTTCTATAGGTAATTATTAAGGCCCCTACATTAGAGCCTCTGGTTTGCTTGGCCTGGCCCCATTGGACCCTTTGGGCCACCAAGCGCTGGAAACTCCGGCTGAGGAATCCAGGGTCTGTCGAATCCTGGTGGTCCGAGCAAAGGCCGCAGCAAGACTGTTGATGAAGACGGTTTAGGGTTTAGGGTTTAGGGTGTAGGGTTTACCAATACTGTTGATGATAGAAATCCTGCACTACCGTAATGGTATATTCCTTATACTTCTGGGTAATGACCTTAAACTATGGGAAGGTATATTCGTTATCATGGGTAATGCAGGATGTATACCATCAACCGTAGGATTACGCTTCGCTTCCGGACGACGTCTCTTCGGGGCTTTCAGACCAGGAGGTGGAAGGCTTGCGAGGGCAGTTAAAGAAGCTCCGTAATGCTGTTGTCCCTTTGGTGGTTCTCAGCTGTATGCCGGCATTTCACCTTACTACCAAAGGGTCCTAATGCAGGGTTTAGGAATTATTATTATGATTCAGGGAGGTATCCCCATAACAGTAGATGGGGCCCTTTGGGACTGGCTTCCAGTTCATATCTTCATTATCATTAGGGTTTAGGGTTTAGAGTTTAGGGTTTAGGTATCTGAAAGCCCAAATCTCCCTCGCAGAAACGACCTGAGTCGCCCCGCGGTTTGCCTTTCTGAAATCCTAAGCCTGACAGCCCCAAACCCTAGAACCCTGGAACCCCTTAAAAACCCCCGAACCCTAAACCCTAAACCCTACACCCTAAACCCTAAAGGCCTAAAAGCCCTAAAGCCTAAACCCTAAACCCGACAGCCTATAAACCCTGAATGCTCGATAAACCCTAAACCTCCTAAACCAACTCCTCAGCCCTTAGCCCGGTTCTGCTCCTCCTCTGATGGCTGGAAGAGCCTCTCCACCTGTCTCTATGTAAGGCTTTCGGGGGTTTAGGGTTTTGGGTTTACGTAGATGCCAAGAATCGTACTTCAGCAGATAGGCAAAATCCTGCATCACATCATGACATCATGCATCCTAATGTTTCCAACTTAAGCTACACGAAAACGCACGAGCCCAGTATACGCGCCTTACTAGACTGGAGTTTTTTTTTGGGGGGGATGCTATAGTTTGTATCAAAAGAAGCCAAGGGAATAATATTAGTAAGCATTCAGGCCTTTATGTTACGCCTTAAACTAAGGCCTTACATAGAGATATAATTATAAGCATAGGATACGAAGCATCGGCACAACTACTACCTACCGGTAACAATTATTAGTGCATCCCGACTGATTACCACTCACCCGAATGGCTCAGACCGGCCATGTGGCTAGAATCCGAACCCCGCCTTGAACTCTCAAATCAGGGCCCCAAACCTTCATTCCAACACCCTACAACTCATAGTCACATTAAACCAACACCGCCGTCGCAAACAAAAAAAACGAAACCGTCGCCCCTCAACCAAAACCGAAAGCACACCACCTTCAAACCTATAAACCCTAACCTATAAACCCTGAGACCCAACACGCTAAACCCCAACACCCGAGGACAGCCTTCAGCAAGCCTCGCAGAAACCCAAACTCCCCCAAGCCCTAATGTCCTTAGTGTAGGGGCCTTAATAATTAGAATATGGGTTTGGGGGTATATTCTACTCTAACTATAAGAAGGAACTCTAAGAATAACATAGATAATCATTTAGGCTTCTATGTTAACCTCCTAAATCTTCAGCAACTTGTTGGGTTTTGGACGGTCACTACTTCGTAGCTCTCGAAGTCAATGTCCCGTTTCAAGTTCCCAAAATACTACGGTAAAAAGTACCACCCCCAAAAAAAGAAAAAAGAAAAAAAAACACAAAAAAAACAGGCCCTAACTTAGAGAACTACGCACTGGAAGTTTCGTGGATGGCTACACTTAGGAAGCTCTGATAACCCTGACCCTAAACCCTTAACCCTATAAACTTTAAACTCTAAACCACTAAACCCTAACCCCCCCTAATCCCGAAACCCTAACCGCAATCTCTTGTACTGGAGCCTCCTGGCGCGAACTCCGTGAGTTTTGGATTCAGCTAGGGTTTGCGGCTTAGGGTTTCGGCTGTCGGGGTTTCGGGGTTTCGGGTTTGGGGCTTAGGCTGCTTATGGCTTCCAGTTGAGGGCAAACCTCTTGGTTATATAGCTCCTTTTTTCGGGTTTAGGGTTCAGGGTTTAGGGCTTGGGGTTTTGGGGTTTGGGGCTGCGGTGCGCCTCCACCCTTGCTTTCACAAGACTGCACCAGTCAAGGACATCCTCTGCGTTTCGGGTTTAGGGTTAGAGAAATGGGCTACTATATAGGGAGTTCCGAAAATAGGTGACCCTAATATAGTACCCTAAATAATAGGATCCCTATTATAAGGACCCCCAAATAAGGTATCTTAATTTTCTGAAACTCCTATATAGAAGCCCAAAAAGTTGGAAACCCAACAGCCGCGATCCTTTTGAATCATGTATAGGGAATCCCAGCACTACTTGTGCTGAGTCCGGCTTCCAACTTTTTTGGGGGGTTTACTCTATACGGGTCCGAGGGCTTAGTTTAGGGAGAGCTCCTCTATTGGTTTTCGGGGATTTACGCATCAGGTTAGCGTGGGCCATCGGGCTTTATGATGCTTGGTAGATTCAGCCGCAGATCTGCACTAAACCCCCCTAAACCCTAAACCCTAGACCCTAAACCCTAAACAGTAGACCCTAAACCCTAAACCCTAAACCCTCGACCCTAAACGCTAAACCCTAAACCCATAAACGCTCAGGGACTGAACATCCTTATGCCTGGTCCTGCACTCTGCACTCCAAGAGCCCTGAAAACAGCACCTTCGGAACCCGTGATAATGCTGTAGATGATAGAAATCCTGCATTACCTTAAAGGACCCTCAGAGTATGGGGACTGTGGTATATTCTTTATTAATTGGGCCAATATCCCAGACCTGCCAAGAATCCCGAATTAAGGAAGATACAGTAAGTAATGATAGGATCCTAACATGAGATGTTGGAAGGTCTGGGATAATTCGAATACGGTTTTGGGGTATAGGTCCCTACGATACACATTTCCCGGCTCCGACCTCCAACAATTTGAAGGGTTGAGGGCTTGGGTGTAGTATCGTACTAAGACTTATGTCGGTGAATTTCTGGAAGAGTATATGATTTTATGTACTTGGACTTTTTGCGTTGCCTCGTTCCAACTGTTATTGCTGCTGCTCGCTGCTGCTTGAACATTTTTCTCATATTGCCCCTGCTTTTGCAACTCTGACACTCGATGCGGCTACTGCAAGGATGGATTGATCGCAAAGACGACCATGTGAAGTACCTTCATGCTGCTGCCGGCCATGACGGCGAAGCGGAGATTACAATTTGCCCTAAGGGTTCATGTGCCCAAATGATACACTCTGGCCCGAAGTGACGATATAGGGACTACTTTCAGGTCAAAGTATGTACTAACCCTAAACCCTAAACCCTCCCTAAACTCTAAACCCTAAACCCGAATCCCTAAACCCTTTATCCTAAACCCTAATCCCTAAACCCCAAAAGACTATAGACATGGACCCTTTGGGTTGCTGGTCCTCGATGATGGCGAAGCCCCCCTGCGCGAAACAAAGGCTACCGTAGCCGTGCTCAGCCGTTCTTCAGACCAAGATCAGGTCGGTTTCGATTGGGTCCAGCGTAGACTATTAGGGTTTAGGGCTTAGGTGTACGGGTTTAGGGATGAGGGTTTAGGGGTTTAGGGATGCTTAGGATGTCAATATACAAACAGGTCTTCGTGACTTCGATTGTGTCGAGGTCCCCTGCTTTCGCCGGGACTTGCATGGCTTGTTTGTTTTTGGGCTCAGCCGCTTGAATGTTGATTGCCGACGCCAAAACTCAGTATTTTGATGTTTTGAAAGCAAGCAACACCCACAAGAGCGCAGGATTCGTTTACTACTTGTGGTTGCGTTCAAGGTGCTGTCTATCTGCTTGTTCGGCTGCGTGGCAGTCTACGTTTGTGTCTTGCATATAGCTGTCTCACTACTTTGTTCTAAACCCTAAACCCTAAACCCTAAACCCTAAACCCTAAACCCTGTACACGAAGCTCAGCAGCAGAAGCTTCAGCAGATGTTTCCTGCTTTGTCGACGCTAAGCCTCAAGCTCCTTAGCCTTAGCGCTGAGCCCGAAGCTCTTCAAAGACATCCGCAACGATAGGCTTAGAAACTGAACCCTAAACCCTAAACCCTAAACCCTAAACCCTAAACCCTAAACCCTACACCAACACCTAAAATCCGGTAGCCCTGAACCACTGGATTCAAAGACTTGTGATGTCAGGGGTTGTCGTTTCTTAGAGGACTCCGAACCCCAAACCCTGAACCCGGAGCCTTGAAGTTCAGTGGTTTTTGGCTTGAGGGTCTGGGGCTTCATGTGTGTAGGTGGGAGAAGGTTTAGGTCTTATAGGCTTTATGGGGTTTAGGGCTTAGGGCTTAGAGGGTTTATAAGGTTTAGGCTCTATAGGGCTTAAGGTTTAGGGCTTAGTGGGTTTAGGGTTTATTGGGTTGAGGCTTTATAGGGTTTGTAGGGTTTAGGGCTTATAGGGTTTAGGGTGGGCGATGGAAAGGAAACCCTGGACCGCGACCTCATGTAGCTCCCTCATCGCGGCACGTGCTGCCGGCGAAGAAGAGGAGAAGAGGCTCCTGAGAACGACCGCAAATGCCGGGATTGCAGCCTAAACCCTGAACCCTAAAACCCTAAACCCTAGAAGCCCTAAACCCTAAACCCCAAAGCCCTAAACCTCTAAAGCCTACCTGAACCTAAGCCCCGATACCCTAGCTTCCCTAGCTTGTATGGTTTAGGCTTAGTGCCTGTCGTCGTCGGATGTCGGGGCTGAGGTTCAGGTAGGGTTTAGGGGTTTAGGGCTTAGGGGTTTAGGGTTTCGGGTTTAGAGGTTTAGGGGTTAGGGTTTCGGGTTTACGGGGCAGGGGTTTAGGGTTTAGGTTAGGGGTTTAGGGTTTGGGGTTTAGGGGTTTGGGGTTTAGGGGCCGGGGTTTAGGGTTTAGGGCTTGGGGGTTTAGGGGTTGAGGGGTTCAGGGGTTTAGGGTTATAGGGGTTTCGGGTTATAGGGGTTTAGGGGTTTAGGGTTTCGGGTTTACGGCTTTGGGAGCTTCGGGTTTAGGGGTTTAGGAGTTTGATGTTAAGACCATGTCTGTCTCGGAGCCAATCGATTCAGTGCACATCCAGAGAATACGGCTACCCAGAATTTCCAAAAACCCGTAACTAAGGAATGCATACCTAAATCTTACTATTATAATTTCTTGGGGTACAGCCCTTAATTACAGTAAGGGGTTTTGGAGGATCTGGCTTCCTGAAGTAGCGGCATTGCACGCGCACATGGAAGGCATTAGCCGCGAAGTGACTTAAGTGGTCTTGCCTTCGGGATCTTGGTCCCACAGCGGAATGGCCCTAAGCAGCCCAGCCTAGGGTTAAAGGTTTAGGGCTTAGGGCCTAATCCCTGCTTAAACCTAAACACCTAAACCGGAGGCCACAAACCCTAAATCCCAAACCACAACACCAAGCCCTAAACAAACCATCAACAACCCACCCCTATTCCTTCCGAAGACTTCCCAATTAGCTTTTAGAGTTTAGGTACGGCAGTTAGAGAGAAGAGGCCTACCAGCAAATCACTAACTGGGACTTAAAATACTACAAGTAGAATCCTTCGTCTCAGAACCCATTACAAGGCAGCACAAACGTTGAGATTCCCCGGTGACTCCAACATAGAGTCTGTAGGCTTGAGGGCAGGGAAGGACTATACGGGACTCTTATTTGAAGCGACCTCCACCACTGACCTGAAAAGTCTTCACCCCTTCTGCTCTGCCCTACCTTAAGAACCCCAAACCCACTTTTTTGTAGGTTCTTATTATAAACCCTAATGTGGGATTTAAAGGGGCCCTACCAAAAAAGTAGGTTTGGGGTTCTTAAGGTAAACTATCAACTCGCGAATGGCCACCTCGATCTTCCTCCATCTTCTTCCCTAACATGACGGCCTTGATAGCTTCAAAACAGTTTGGGGTATATCTTAGGGAACATGACGGAATAGGGTTTAGGGTTTAGGGTTTAGGGTTTAGGGTTTAGGAATAGTGTTACCAGTTGCATAGGCCCCCCACATTGAACCCTCCTCGATTCCCAACGCCTTCAACCATCAACGATCTTCTCTTCATCTGAAAACCACAACCCTCTTCCTGAAAGGTGGTCGCAAAGCTCAACAGGCACAAGGGTACTACGAGGGTGTTATGTTCGTTCTATATGGGTTGTATAAGGGTTTGTGATTCTAGATGCATATAAACTGAACCATTCAATGTAGGGCTGCCATGCTGGTCGCGATTTAGTATTATTCGGATTTAAGGGTTTTGGGTTTGGGACCAATTCAGAGTTCCTTGCTACTGAGTAAAGGTGCAAGCAGCTCATGTGGGATTGAACCTTCAAATCCCAACACCGGTGGGTGACCTGGCCACCCCAGAACTCAAACCTGTCAGGTCATTGATCCTAGGTGTTGGGCCGAAACCCGACAACTCTAAAACCCACCTTGTTCCACAATAGGCTTTACCTCAGAAAGCCTACATGTCGGTTTCGCGTCGATAGTACAACTTACATGTCGATATAGATGCTGATGAACAAGGTAACAATGCGTCTTCTTGTGTGTGTCTGTATGTCCATATGTACATGCATACTCAGTATCTTGCGCAGAAACTCCAAAACCCCAAACCCTAAACCCTAAACAGTACAGGCATTAAGGGCCGGAGCCCGACTTATTTCGGCTTGCCTGGCGCTCTCCTCTGCAAAGCGCCTCTCCGGCGTTGGATTTTGACTCTCGAATTCAGGGGTTGAGTGTTGTATAGGGTTTAGGGTTTAGGATTTTAGTGTTTAGGGTGTAGGGTATAGGGTATAGGGTTTAAGGGTATATGCAACCTTAACATACGAGTTTTAACGTAGGTCAGGGCCGTAAGGGCTGACTTTCGAGGCGGCTGCACACTACTTGAAGGAGCTTCTGGGTATGTTTAGGGGCGCATCGTTTAAGGTTTCGGGTGCAAAGTAGCGCCCTATAGGACCCTATGTTGCAGCAAGACAATGAACAGCCACGGGCAGTATAGGCAGGTAGACCTCGAAATCTGAACCTTCTAATCAAAGCCTCCTAGACTCCTAGCTGCATCCTAAACCCTAAACCCTAAACCCTAAAACCCTAAACCCTCCTACCTACATCCTAAACCTGATTCATCCCGCCCTCCCGTGAACATGGCCTTCAGTCCAGGTTTCCACTGCCAATTCGCTATAAAGGTTTATGGTTTAGGGGTTCAGGGTTGTCTCTACGCTGTAAGGTTGAAGGGTTGTACCTGAACCGCCAGGAACGCCAAAGTTTCCGAGCAACCAAATCCCTATCAACCCAAACCCTGAACCCTCAACCTATCCCCACAACACGGCTACACATCCAAACTGCGGGTCCTTTTCGTAACTCTTTAAACCTTAGAAGTTACCTTCATAAGGAACCCTTCAGGGAGCCCGTAGAGGAACCCTAAACCCTAAACCCTGAACCCCTAAACCCTAAACCCCTAAACCCTGGAACCCTTAGAAGGAATCCTTATGGGTCAGCCGTCCGGGATCGGCAAATTGGGCTTTCGGGCCTCCCCCGCTCACGGGTGTAATACAGGGGCCTGAAGAAGTACCTCTGCTTCCTTATTCTAACTATGGTACGCCTTTTATACTGAGAATTTTTTGGGGTATATCATACTAGATTATAGTATTATAATATACCCCAACACCCTATTGCAGCGTAAAAGGCGCCTAGATGAGGTTCTAGATGCCCCAGTAAGGCAGCCAAGCAAAGGGTTTAGGGTGTAAGGTTCTCCGTCCTGAGACCCTAAACCCCTCAACCACCATGTACCCTAAACTTTAAGCCTCAAGCCGCAAGCCTTAAACCGCTTGCCTTCCTTCCCCAAGAAGCCCGGGAAATAAAAGGCTGAACTTTCAGGTTGCTACTAAAATTATGAGAGCCCGAAAGGTTTACAGGTCGGGTATTTAAAAATTGAAGCACTCAAGTGAGTCCTTTTTGGGCAGAACTCTGCGGGTCTGGATCGAGATCCTCTGAGCTACAGTCAACTTTAGCCCTTAACGGTTTAAGGTTTAGGGGTTTAGGGTTTAGGGTTTAGGGTTTAGGGTTCAATGACATGTCTCGTTAGTGGCGATAGGAATCATAATACGCTCCCTCTTTGGCGCTGCAGTTCTCAAGCCCACACGGCCTAACATCCATAATCCCCAAACCCGAAAACCGCAGGATTATCAACACGCTTGTTCTGGAGAGCATTAGTACTTGCTTTACACACTGTGCCTGTAACCAATATTTGCGTATACGTGTGTATACATGTGTAGAAGTGTATACACACGTGTAAACGTGTGTGTGTGTGTATATATATATGTATATATATATATATATGTATATGTATGTATGTATGTATGTATGTATGTATGTAGTCACATATACATAGAAAACAATTCATATACACACATATACAAACATAGACGCAGATGCATATATATATATATGTATATATATATATATACACACAGCCCGAATGTTGACCGTAGCTCATCTTATGGCATGCAGCCTCAGATGCCGCTCTGCGCGCTCCCCTAGGAGCTCGAGCGGAACGAGAACTGTGCTTTAGGACGGAAGGCACTCTGAAACGCAGGTTTAGGGTTTCGGGCTCTAGGGTTTTGGGGTTCAGGGTTTTAGGGTTTAGGGTTTATAAGGGTTTAAGGAGTTAGGGTTTTAGGGTTAGGTTTCATGGGCTCAAGGCCTGTAGGGTTCTGCGGTTCGGGGTTAGAACCTATCACTGCTTTCGGCTGGGGTTCGGGTTTAGGGTTTAGGTAACATAGACAAGTATGAACGGTTCAGGACAATGCCAACAAAACGTATTTCTTAGCACTGGGGCACGAGTCGGGCCTGCGGTCTAGGCTGAGCAGGTTCGGGAGTGAAGTGCTAAGCCCCAAACTTCGATCATGATGGATGCTCGGACAAGCGAGTTCAATACCATATCGTGTGCAGCATGTACCTCATGTTACACACGAGCACTTTGACTGTCACAGTTACCTGGCTTCCAGGCCCAGCATCATCCTAAAGGTAGATGCAGCGAGAAGTCTCGCAAGGTGCTGCGGCATGTGGTAATCTTGCTGATGGACGACAGTTGATTGCAAGAAGTCGGGTACCCTAACAGCCTAGTACTATGCAAGTTCAGGGTCTAGGGTACCCTAATAGGACTATGTAGGGGTTGGGGTATATAAATTAGTGGGACCATTTGGTGTACTGCAGTATTACTATGACAATGCACGGCTGTGTCCATCAGCAAGTCCGTGCCTTATCGTAAGTTTTCAGAAAGGAACGCTGCGGGGGCCCGTGCTTCTCGTGTGGAGTAGTCTCATATTGTCTGTGTTGCAAGGATCACATACTTTCAGTTCATTTCATGCAGATAACTGACTCAATTGCTAAACTAGCGAAGCACAGAAGTTGTATACTAGCAGTCGCTAGGCAATGACCTTCAATAATGCCCACACGCATTTAGTAAGACTCACTGAGTTCATAAACGACCATGCCTTTGCCGAAGTGACACGGGAAAATAGCATGTGCTCGTCGAGCAGGGGGGGGTCGGCCCAACAACAAAAAAGGAGCGGGGGGGGGGAGAGAGGCGCCAACAACAACAGCAACAAATAAAAATATTGCTAATGGATCTGTATATATATATATATATACATATGTCTATCAATATTGTGTTGTTGTTTATTTTGCTTGGTTTTTTGTTGGCGCCCCCCTCCCCCCCGCCCCCTTATCCTTTTCTTTTGGGGCCGACCCCACCCCCACCCGGGCTCCACGAGCACGTGCTATCTCCCCGTGGCACTTGGGCGGACAGCATGCCCGGCTTTTAGGTCTTCGTCTCTCGAGGTTGCGTACAGTCCGTCTCCTGGGCTTCGTTCGTGCGGTTTCCACCCCCGGACTTCGCTCCACACGAGGAGGCGAGGCCTTGCGCAGGTGCCAACTTGGCGGATCCCGCCGGCCGCCCGTGATACGGAGGTTGGCGTCCTGCAAGGGTCCACTCGGGTGCGATCGACTTGCAAGCGCGCTATAACCCCACCTCTTGGAGAGTGAAGGTTGCCACCTGCGTTGGGTCCACGGCGGCCAGGACCCGTCTGTCGCCCACCTTGGCCTCGCGAGACCGCCAGCCCGGCAACGTGAAGCGCATGCGTAATCGCGAGCCTTCCCCAGGGCGAACCACAGGGCCACCAGGCACTCCGAGGTGTAGGACAGCCACGGAGATGCCTCGGTAATGATTCGATCGAGCCGGCGACTTCGCGAGTGGCTTTGCGGATGCTACAGACAAGTCGAAGCGATCTTGATTGGCAGGCTGGCCCGGGGATTTACTGCCATGTGCTCGCAGACGGTGACGTCAATATCACCTGCGCCACGGGACGGTGCGATTTCGCTCGCCCGCGTGATGCAAGTCCCGCCTTTGGCCCGGCTGCAGTCTCGAAGGCGATGGGCGCCGCGCCACAGCAGACCTGTAGAGATGGGTCCAATCGCTCGGGCGCGAGTTGCGAGGAAGAGTGGGCCCGCACCCAGCGCCATTTCGGACTCGTATCGGCGCTCGATCGCCTCCGTGCGGCAGAGGAGGTCCTCGCCCCGCAGCATGCGGAAGAACTCCTGCGGCATCGTCGTCATTCGCCGTCGCCGAGTGTCTGGCAGGCTTGTAATATGTACGACGAACGCAACGTGTGCTCGGCCTTCGCTGCTGCGCAGTGCGCCAGGGCGCCGTGGCGCTGCTGCAACTGAGCACGTATGCAAATTAGGTCGCTTCCATCACTTGTCGCTACACAGACTTACGTCGCTGCTCCGGCTGACGGTTTACTGACCGAGCACCGGGCTTGGGCGAGGATCTCCTGGGGGTTCTCCTTGTCGTTGGCCATTGCGCAGGCGTCAGCGATGACCTCAGAGTAAAAGCTGTCGGAGGGCGCAGGCTGCGCTTGCTTGGACCCGGCAAGCTCGACGTAAGACATGACGTCGCCTGGGCCGGTGAGGACGCGAACTGAATTGCAAGACCCGAAGAGCAGACTTGGGGGAGGTCGAGCAAGGTCTCCAGAGAAACGAGCTGCGAGTGCTGGACGAGCCGAAGAGAAATTTCGGCCATTACAAGTACTGGGATCGCGTATGTCTGCGGCCGAGGGTATCTGTCTACGCCCAAACCTTGGAGACCCCTCGTCAAGATGTGATTGTCCGCAAGGTGAGA